AAGAGTAGAACTTTGTAGCTGTAGATTAGTTATGTTTAAAACGCCTACGTGCAAGCCTTGCTTCGTTGGGATATCAAATGTATTTTGTGATGTACTAAGGATACTGGTCCTGAAGTCTACCAAATATTATAGTGCATTTTAGCCTAATTCATTATGTGTATGAAGTTATAAAAGTAGCTGTGGATGACTAGGAATTACATCATTTGTAGTAAACCCAGATCTGAGTATGTGGTTCATGCTGTTGTGAAAAATGTTTTATCTTTTACCTTTGTCTGTTTGTAATGAGAGGATTTCCTTTTGTAGCTCAGAGAGTACCTGATGTATCATCTCAAACACAATAAACATGCTCCTGAAAAAAAAAAAAGGCAGATATACTCTATAGCCCAAATCTTCATTTCTTCAGTCAGTCATCATGCATTTTATTTATTTATTTATTCAGAGACAGAGTCTCATTCTGTTGCCCAGACTGGTGTGCAAGTGGCTCAATCTTGGCTCACTGCAACCTCCACATCCCGGGTTCAAGCAATTCTCTGCCTCAGCCTCCCAAGTAGCTGGGATTACAGGCGCCCACCAACATGCCCAGCTATTTTTTGTATTTTTAGTAGAGACGGGGTTTCACCATCTTGGCCAGGCTAGTCTTGAACCCCTGGCCTTATGATCCATCTGCCTTGGCCTTCCAAAGTGCTGGGATTACAGGCGTGAGCCACTGCGCCCAGCCCATTTTTTTCATTTATTTAGTTTTTACACAGATGGGATCTCACTGTGTTGACAAGGCTGGTCTCAGACTCCTGGTATCAAGCAATCATCCTGCCTCAGCCTCCCAAAATGCTAGTATTATAGGTGTGAGTCACCACACCTGGCCTCTGAGGTGAGTTGTTTGTTTGTTTGTTTTTTGTTTTTTGAGACAGAGTCTCACTCTGTTGCCCAGGCTGGAATGCAATAGCTGGTCTCACCTCAGCTCACTGTAACCTCTGCCTCTGGGGTTCAAGTGATTCTCCCGTCTCAGCCTCCCGAGTAGCTGGGATTACAGGTGTGCACCACCTCACTGGGCTAATTTTTTTTGTATTTAGTAGAGACGGGTTTTCACCGTGTTGGCCAGGCTAGTCTCAAACTCCTGACCTAAAGTAATCCACCCACTGTGGCCTCTCAAAGTGCTGGGATTATAGGTGTGAGTCACTGCACCCAGCCTGAGGTGAGTATTTTAAAAAAGAATATTTAGAAAGGCTGGGTGTGGTGGCTCACACCTGTAATCCCAGCACTTTGGGAGGCTGAGGCGGGTGGATCAGGAGGCCAGGAGTTCAAAACCAGCCTGGCCAGTATGGTGAAACCCTGTCTCTATTAAACAAACAAACAAAAAGTCTATTTAGGCCATGGGCAGTGACTTATGCCTGTAATCTCAGCACTTTGGGAGGCTGAGGCGGGCAGATCACCTGAGGTCAGGAGTTCAAGACCAGCCTGACAAATATGGTGAAACATGGTCTATACAAAAAAACTGGCTGGGTGTGGTGGCACACACCTGTAATCTCAGCTACTCAGGAGGCTGAGGCGGGAGAATTGCTTGAACCCGGGAGGCAGGGGTTGCAGTGAGCAGAGATCACGCCACTGCACTTCAGCCTGGGTGACAGAGGGAGACTCCATCTCAAAAAAAAAAAAAAAAATAGTATATTTAGCCCGGGCACAGTGGCTCACGCCTGTAATCCCAGCACTTTGGGAGGCTGAGGTGGGCGGACTACCTGAGGTGGAGTGTTTGAGACAGGCTGATCAGCATGGAGAAATACCGTCTCTACTAAAAATACAAAGTTAGCTTGGCGAGGTGGCGCGCACCTGCAATCCCATCTACTTCAGAGGCTGAGGCAGGAGAATTGCTTGAATCTGAGAGATGGAGCTTGCGTTGAGCCGAGATTGAGCCATTGCACTCCAGCCTGAGCAACAAGAGTGAAAGTATATTTAGGCCAGGTGCCGTGGCTCAGGCCTGTAATCCCGGCACTTAGGGAGGCTGAGGTGGGCAGATCACCTGAGGTCAGGAATTTGAGACCAGCCTGGCTAACATGGTGAAACGCTGTCTCTACTAAAAACATAAAAATTAGCCAGGTGTAGTGGTGCATGCCTGTAATCCTGGCTACTCAGGAGGCTGAGGCAGGAGAATCAATTGATCTCGGGAGGTGAGGTTGCAGTGAGCTGAGATCGCATCGCTGCACTCCAGTCTGGGAGACAGAATGAGACTCTATATCAAAAAAAAAAAAAAAAAGGCTCTGCCCATTTATGTATTTTTCATCAATTATTTATTGAATACCTACTGCATGCTAGATATACTACTAGGCACAGAAAATATAAATGCCACTAAGTCAAAGTCTCTACCGTCATAGAGCTTAAATATTACTTTATTTATTTATACTTTTTGACAGGGCCTCACTGTGTCATCTAGGCTAGTGCAGTGGCACCATCTTCATTCACTGCTGCCTCGACCTCCTGGCTCAAGCGAGGCTGCTACACTGAGCCATGGTGCCAAGATCTTCCTGCGTCAGCCTCCCAAGCAGCTGGGACTATATGTGCATAACACCATGCCTGGTTAATTTTGTTGGTTTTTAGTAGAGACAAAGTCTTCCCATGGAGCCCAGGATAGTTTCAAATTCCTGAGCTCAAGTGATCCTCCTGCCTTGGCCTCCCAAAAATACTGGGATTACAAGATATGAGCCACTGTGCCCAACATCTGAATTTCAATACGGAAGCTATTTGTGATGTTTTATTTTATGTGTCAACTTGGTTGGACTACAGTGCCCAGATATGTGGTCAAACCTCATTCTAAATGTTTCTGTGAGAGTGTTTGGAATGAAATTTATATTTAAATCAGTGGACTTTAAGTAAAGAAGATTATCTTCCATATTGTGGGTGGGCCTCATGAAATCAGTTGAAGGCCTGTAGGAATATCAATATTAAAAGTGATACTGAGGCTGGGCGCGGTGGCTCACGCCTGTAATCCCAGCACTTTGGGAGGCCGAGGCGGGTGGATCACGAGGTCAAGAGATCGAGACCATCCTGGTCAACAAGGTGAAACCCCGTCTCTACTAAAAATACAAAAATCAGCTGGGCATGGTGGTGCGCGCCTATAGTCCCCGCTACTCGGGAGGCTGAGGCAGGAGAATTGCCTGAACCCAGGAGGCAAGTTTGCGGTGAGCCGAGATCGCGCCATTGCACTCCAGCCTGGGTAACAAGAGGGAAACTCCGTCTCAAAAAAAAAAAAAGTGATTCTGGGGGCTCCATGTTTGGATCCCCTTCCACGAACACTCTTGTGGAAGCTGCTTTTCTCTATCCTGGACTTTCCCTCAGAGTCCCCTTCCACACTCTCTCTTGGAAGCCTGTCTTCCCCTCCTAAACTCCATCTCTCTCTCTATTTCCTTCCAAAAAGAAAAAAAAAGTGATTCTGGGCCGGGCGCGGTGGCTCACGCCTGTAATCCCAGCACTTTGGGAGGCCGAGGCAGGTGGATCACCTGAGGTCAGTTCAAGACCAACATGGCCAACATGATGAAACTCTGTCTCCACAAAAATACATAAATTAGCTGGGCCTGATGGCAGATGCCTATAATCCCAGGTACTCAGGAGGCTGAGGCAGAAGAATTGCTTGAACCCGGGAGGAAGAGGTTGTAGTGAGCCAAGATTGTGCCACTGCACTCCAGCCTGGGCAACAGAGCAAGACTTTGTATAAAAACAAAAAAATTCGGCCGGGCGCGGTGGCTCAAGCCTGTAATCCCAGCACTTTGGGAGGCCGAGGCGGGTGGATCACGAGGTCAAGAGATCGAGACCATCCTGGTCAACATGGTGAAACCCCGTCTCTACTAAAGATACAAAAAATCAGCTGGGCATGGTGGCGCATGCCTGTAATCCCAGCTACTCAGGAGGCTGAGGCAGCAGAATTGCCTGAACCCAGGAGGTGGAGGTTGCGGTGAGCCGAGATTGCGCCATTGCACTCCAGCCTGGGTAACAAGAGCGAAACTCCGTCTCAAAAAAAACAAAAACAAAAACAAAACAAAACAAAAAAAACAAAAAAATTCATATGTTGAAGCTGTAACCCCTAGTACCTTAGAATGATGGGCCTTTAAGGAGGTATTTAAGGCCGGGCGTGGTGGCTCAGGCCTGTAATCCAAGCACTTCGGAGGCCAAGGCAGGTGGATCACCTGAGGTCGGGAGTTCAAGACCAGCCTGATCAACATGGTGAAACCACGTCTTAAAAAAAAAAAAGGTATTTAAGGTTAAATGAAGTCACTAGGGTGGGGCTCTAGTCCAATAGGACAGGTGTCCCTATGAGACAAGGAAGAGGCATAAGACCTGTGAATAGAGAAAAGGCCATGTGAGGACACTGAGAAGACAGCCATCAAGACAGTCAAGGGGAGAGTCTAAGGAGAAATGAACCCTGCTGGCACCTCGATCTTGGATGTCCAGCAACTAAAACGACGAGAAAACACATTCCTGTCGTTTAAACCACCTGTTTGTGGTATTTTGTCAT